GGGGGGGAGGGGGCAGGGACTGACTGACTATGTTAAGCACTGGTATAGCTCCTGGGAGAGCTGGAGGGTGGTAGAGGGAGATTTTAAACAAGTAGTCTGGGAACATGCTGTGATTTTTAGGAACCAGTTCAGCTGGATGGGGCTACCTCTAGTATGCCTGGTCTTCAGAGACCACAGGCTTGATATATAAAAAAGCACTAAGGGGAGAATTATGGTTAAAATGCCAGGCACAGAGCTCATAAAAGCATTTAAGATATTTTCTTTGCACTCATAAATCTTGGTTTTTCTGATTTATTTATCTGTATCCTGGCATTGAGTTGCAACCATGTTAGCTCAGTTTTTAGCGGGTAGTTACACCTCACTGTCATGCATAATGCCTTTTTTAAGATTATCCGTATTAATATTAGTGTTTGAGGCCATGCTTTCAAGTAGACTTACTTTTCTAACATAGTGGGATTTTTAATATGCTGTTCTTTAATTTATAGTCTAATTTTTTTATGATTGGAAGAAGTAGTTCTTTGAATGATTGATATTTTTGATCAAGGGCTGGATATAATACATTGTCAGGAGTTGCTCTTTTTATTAAAAAAAGTTTACTTCTAAACAGATTCATTTTAATGCCTTCCTATCTGTCATAGTTGTTCACACGTCTAGAAATTTAAAATTAATGCAGTATATATGAGACAATGTTGTGATGGGGCAGAGCAAGTGACAAACTGGGAACTTGAAAGTGTACAGGTAGAGGGCAGGAAATAATGGCAAAAAGAGCTTTGCTGTGCCTGAAATCCATGGGTGCTGTATTTCAGTGCAAACTTTTTTGTTTTGAAGCTGTGTATATTAATGCATAGCACTTAGGCCTTTGAACGTTGTGTAAGATTTGTGCATGTGTGTTTCTTACCAGCACACACTGCATGTGTCATGGAAAAGAAGCCATTAATCACATCATCAAGTAGTGTAGTGTCACAAGATCTGTAAAATGTGATCCTCTCTTTTTCTGTCCTGCTCCCAGCAGGAGGATAAAGCAGTGTGCATGTTTGAGAGGTGGAGCTCTGAGGGTGGGGGAATATGACAGCACTGGTGCAAGAAGTTCGGGTGGTTCCTGAAGCAAGATGTCATCTAGACATATCCTTCATTCACTGTTGTTCTTTTACCAAGCATCTATTAACCAGGGAAACCAGCAATGAAACATCCTGTGACCCCATTTGGATCTTTATCTGCCCTTTAACGTCTCAAGTAGATGGCAGACAAGTCATTTTCTACATTCAACTCCCTTCCCCATACCTAGCATCATTAAGATTGACACTAATCTTTCTTGAAATGCTGAGGATGAATTGTAGTATTGCAGTAAAGGATACACTTAGGGACAATATCTAGACAGTCTATTAAAAGCTTTCTTCTGCAGTGATCCCAAACAATCTCAGTATTTTCCGTTTTCTTTCTTCCCTGGGTACTCAAACTCCTGTTTAATAAGAGTTCTCTTTTCAGTCTTAGAAAGTAAAAATGCAAGAGTGAAGTGATTTTTTTTCTCCCCCCATGTTCTTTGTGTAATTCAGATGTTGCCTGTAAGATGAACTCAGACTACAATGGAGTATTGTTTCTCTTTCACATTACAAATATAACAAAATTGTAGTCTGATTTTGCTTTGAATAAAAATCTTTGCCTGTATAAACTGTGCAAAACACGAAGATGCTGGTTCTTTGAAAATACAGTTAGCTATTTTGGATTTTATTTGGTATGTGTTCTTCATAAATCTTATCATACAATCCATCATAATAAGTTAAGAGGAAAATGTGTTTCATCTCCGTTTTAGTGTAAAAGGTTGGTATACCTGTAGTCATGCTTCAGTGTTAGTTTACAAAGAATAACATTGCTTTGAAAGATCCCATACCTGCATAAAAATTTTGTTCTTTCCCCTCTGATCTAGGAGGAGCCATGCTTTAAAGGCTTCTTGATCTCTCTTCTAACAAATTGAAAAAGTACTGCATTCAGTGCTCAGGGTAGGAAGATGGATGAGTGACTGTGAGACATAGATCATAAAGTATTCAGACTTTTAACATGTGGAAAGTCGCTGAAGATAAAGCTGTTTTTATAACATTAATTAGGAAAGATACCTTAGTAGTTCAACAAAATTAGAAGGAAAGACAGTAGTTGTACATATGCAGTGGTTTTTCCTTTAAATATTAAGTAGAATTACCTGTTCTCTGAGCAGGTAAGGATCTCTTAAATGCGAATACAGAATGTTCTGTAGCATCTGTAGCACAGTATTAAAATGAGCTTTCAGTTTTTGCTGGAAAGAAAACTGTAGAAAGAGAGAGGACAGATGAAGGAGCTGCTATTTCATACATGGAAAATCCTTTTGGTTAAATTGGAAATACCTGTTGCACAGGTGAATTCTGTGTTATTCTAGCACTGGACCTTCTTGTTAACAGTCTGTACATATTAGGAATATTTAACTCAGGTGTTACTGAAGTATTGTTTGAACACCACATTTCAAGTAAATCATGGCTAAGTGATTTGAGGGTTTAGGCAAATGGTAGTGTCCTTTCTTAGGATACGCTCTTAATTGTATCTGAAAAAGGTAAAGTGTCCTTACTTTCAGGGAAATAGCTGAATCAGGATAATGCACTGGGTGTGCTGTATTAATAAGTGGATAAGGAAATCTGCAAACCTGTTTTGTTTTGTTTTTTCAGAATAAGATCAAATTTCACAAATACTTAATCGTGTATTGGGCTGAATGATATAGTGGATGTTACAATAGAGTGATACGGAGGGTGGTGTCTGCACAGGGTTTTAATTAAGTTGTTCTGCACATCTTTCAAGCAAGGTGCAGCATGAGAGTAATGGTCTCATTACTCTACAGCTAGTGTATGGTTGGTTTGACAGGAAGCGACAAGAATCTGTTAAAAGAGACTGAGTTTCCTGGTCAAAATATTTTTTTTTTTTTTAATTCTCGGATAAATTGAATTTTTTACTGTGACTAGAAACATTTAGAGAGGTACTGAGATACGTCCACTTTTTAAATTATAACTGAATTTGTAAAAGCTTCTATTGGTCTTAACTGGTTGTTCCGTTATCTTGGACACTGAGCCTCCCACAGAGTCTTGCTGTAAGTCGTCGTCAGTGCAGGTGACAGTCTGTTCACAACTCTTCTAGCTTTCTTTGGTTCACACCTTGAGGACTTAAAGCCAAGAATACTGTTAGGTGAGGGACAGAAAGAGATTTTCTGTTGGTAAAATTATGCATGATAAAGCTGGGTGAAGGTGCTCTTATCTAATGTAGTGATCACAGTGCGTATTCCAAATGAGACAGATAATGTTCCTGGGTTTTTTTTCTGGATGTTTTTCACCAAGAGGAAAACAGATGGAATTTTCTTCTGAATGCCTGCATTCACAGAAGCACTTTAATAATATGAGCTAGAACAAATGATGCTCAACTCTCCTCCTGTTGAGAAATTGAGGACTACTTGGAACGTAATTTAGCCCTATTTTTATTCTCTGAAAGCTTGTTTGTGTGGATGTTCATGTCATTTACTGAAATTTAATTTACAAACAAGATTTACTTTAGCTCTGTTTTGAAGTACTAATGCATACACAGATCAAAAAACCCAAGAGATTTTGGAGTTATTACTGCTCTTCTAGGAGGCTTTGAATCCATAAAAAATTACTTCAGTTCAGAAAATTGTACAATTGCATATTAAAGTGTGTTCAGTCATTAATAAAATTATACTGTTGTGGTTATCAGGTGATCATCATTTAGGTTTTCTAAGCACATTGATGAGAAAGCCTTTCTTCAGGAACTCAAATTTCTGCCATAATCTTGGGAGAGGAAGTTATGATGTCCTTCATAATTGAATTATTCGTTAATATAATTATTCTATTGTGTTTTAACAATAAGGCTCTTGAAGAGTTATCGGGGAGATAGAAAAATTTTCTTCTTTTTTTAAATGTCCAGGGCAAAATCTAGACAGCATGCTTCATGGCACAGGAATGAAGACAAGTCCTGACCAAAAGAAACAAGCAAATGGAGTAACACTCGCTCCAGAGGACACCTTACCTTTTCTTAAGTGCTACTGCTCAGGACATTGTCCAGATGATGCTATTAATAACACATGCATGTAAGTATTGCATACAGGATAAAAGAGGCTCTTTCAAGAGGCTCAGTTTTACTTGTGAGAGAGCAAACTATCTCTAGCTGCTGACTGATGTTCTGTCAGGTAATTGACCATAATTGATTAGTTCTGGTCATTAGTTCTCCAGTGGTTCTATATGAAAACCTGGTAATTTGTATGTAAACAATACTGCTTTCACCATACCTTAGAATAATTTCCAACCAGTCATTTTGCCCCCAGAAACTGCTTTGAAGGACTGAGGTTGTAAGTAACCTGTAGCATTTTATAACTGGGTGAGTATTAAATGACCCAAATCTAAACCTTTGATACCACTGCCTGCTTGCTTAGTCTAGTATTTCCTCACCTAGTTGTCAAAAGTGCTAGCAACATAACCATTTACTGAGAATTATTCTTGTTAATTGTTCATTAGTTGTAAAGTATGAGCAAAAGACGGGAAAAAAAGAAAAGCCTCTGAACATATAGGGACAGGAGTGTAGTTTTAGCTTGGATAGGCGTGAGAATCCTAACAGACTCATGCACTGAGTATGTGCTTGCTTAAGATGGTTTTTTCATGTCGTGAAATGTCCCTGATTTTCCTTTTTTTCTCTTCATTTGCTGTTACATGTTTAAGGCCCTTCAATTTTCTTCCTTAAGAATTAATATAAAGATACATAGTAGAAAACCTATTATTTGCTGCTATAATTTGAGTCTTTAACACCTAATATTAAGCATCTCTATAGCTGCCTCTTGGCGGGTAAAGCAGATTTTGTAGGACTCAAGGAGGTGGAATAAACAGTACTATCTTTTTAAATATAAACACAGGTAGTATTTTACAAACATAGTTTTGCACCCAGAAAACATGCAGTTAGAATCAGTATTTTATGTCCTTTGGCATTTATCTTTTGCTTTTTATCACCCTCTAGTGTATGCGGTCAGTTTAGGCCTTGTTAATTTTTTTTCCTTTGAACAAATGGCTTTATAGGTTATTATTCTGATAATAAAGCTTTTAGAGAGTTAATAACACACAGTGTTCATGGGCAGGGTATTTTATGGCATTATGCTTCCCAAGTCTGCATTTCTTTACATTTATTTAAATAAAAACCGTGGCAAACAAAAATATTTGTAGATATCTGTGTTGAGGAAGTGAATGGATTTTGATTTGCATAATGACATCTTAATTTTACAGGTATTGCAAGCACAGACCTACCATTGCAAATTGGTTTGTTATTCCTTACAAATATTGTTGTCATTTTCATGTAGTGTAGAAATCAAAGCCTTTGTAGAAAGAACTAAAGGGGAATTCAAGTGCCATTTTTTTGAAAGAATGTAATCTATTTGTTACTGTCCTTTTCAGAAAGCGGATTTGGGCGGTTGTTTGTTTTGCCCTAAAGGCTGAATATTTGAGAGCTTATGTGGCAAAGTGTAGCTGAGCTTTTGACCTTGAAATAGCTACATTTCACGTACTGGGGCTTCTCTTTGAGAGTTTATCATAGCAGTTTCAAGAACAAAGACAAGTGAATTTTATTTTTTTTAACCTGTAGAGTTGTAGTCAGTAAGCCTTTTTAGTCAGATCTCTGCTCTCCCTCCCTTTCAGATGTTCCTGAACAACTGTATGTGTGTGGTTGGATATGAGCAATCTTAAAGGGGCATGAGGAAGTAGAAGACAGAATGTTTGGGAGAAAACAGTGTTGTATTTGAAGATAGTGTGGGGGGTCTTTTGTTCTCAAACTGTATGGTAACCACTGTGTTAACGAATTTTTCTAGATGTGGCCATTCTAGTATTCTTAATAGATTCGCGGTCAACTAATGCTGCATATTACACAACAGACATGCTGGTAAAGCACAATTGATATGTTTATTGCAGAACTAACGGGCATTGCTTTGCTATCATTGAAGAAGATGAACATGGAGAACCCACGCTTGCTTCTGGCTGCATGAAGTATGAAGGTTCAGACTTCCAGTGCAAGGTGAAAAAGTGAAATATCATTAAAATTTAAGATCTCCATGGAAATTATGTAGGCAAACTGCATAAACAATTGCAATCTCTGTATTCAACAGCAGTCATGGAATTTTGCATGTTGCCATGTACCACTGCAGAGAATGGGACTGGACAATCATGGGCAGGTAGTGACAGAAAGCGTAGTTAACAGTGTTTGAGCAAAGATTGGAACAGAACCCTAGATTGTTGGAGTTCCCTGCAAGCATCTGTAAACCACTGACAAAATGAAGAGGACATCAACCTTTTACTTCTGTCAACTGTTTCAGCAGTTGAAGAGATAGCTTTATAGTCAACCTGATTGATCTGAGTAGTTTGTTTTAGTGCAGAATTTCTTGATGGTTTTACTTAGGAATTTCCTGTTTTCTTCAGTTCATTTGACAGAGAGTCGTAAGTTATCTTCACAGATGACGCAGGAGCTCCCTTACGGTTTCATGAGCATGTACACAGTTTATCAAATGTGTATGTTTTCCTGTCTGATGTATAACTTATTTTTTCCTTTCTAGAAGAGTTATGTGTCGTTAATTGCATGACTATAACTTGCTTTTGATTTGAAGGGGTATAATTAATCAGACTGCTGCCTGTAGGACTTCTTTATCTGGTACAAAAGTTGGAACTCAAAGCAGTTAATAAAGCAAGGATTCGTTTAGAAGATAGGGGTATAGTGCTAACTGGGCAAATGAATATTGCCTTGGAAGACAATTTTGGCTTTTCTTTTGTCACATTGCTTCCATTAAACAAAGTTCTTAGAGGTAATCACCAGCTGGGTTGGTTCATTTGTTTTTGGTTTTTTTTTTTCTTTCTTTCTTTCTCCCCAGAACGATATCACTGTTTTGGATACTCAATTTTAAATCTCTAGGACTTGCGTTTCTGTATGATGTAGCTGTCAGTAGCACTGCTTTTCAGAAGCACTGTTGACTTCAGTTAGAGCTGTGAATGTTTAGGGTTACTGCAAATCAGACCTGAGGTGTCATGATGACCTCCTGAAGTTGCTCTTGTATTTATATTAGTGTCTTACCTTCAGATTAATTTTCATGTCCCTCCATCTTTTATATGGTCTTCTGAAGAAGTTTTTGAAGCAAATAGTGCTGCTATGATGAGAGTAAGACCAAAACTTCTAAAGGGATTGTGTTTTTTAATCTTAAGAGAAATATTTAACATACAATTAACTGCTTTTGATCAAGCTTAAAAATTTTGCAATGTATGAAATAGCAACTTAAGTAGGAACCATCTATTTTTGTGCACCAAGTAAAAAAAATTCCATTAAAAATAAAAAAAAGGTTAGCATAGAACATATGGACCCAAAGAGACTAGGTGTTGTTTGACTGCCACTGTGAAGTTGTTCCATACATTAAATGGTGAGGTTAAACTGTTTTTTTATAGCATAGCTCAAACTTTTGTCTGTGCTGTATTGCAGTAGTAGCATCACCAGTCTCTAGCCTAGCTGGTCACTTCAAAATCTGAATGTTTATTCAATTCTCTTTCAACAGGACTCACCTAAAGCACAATTACGCCGCACAATTGAGTGCTGTCGGACTGATTTCTGCAATCAGGATTTACAACCAACATTACCACCACTTGATAGTACAGGTAAACCGCTTCTAGGTGTTCTGCTATTAATAAATGCTATGTGGATTCTGTTCTTCCCGATCAACAGATCAAAATAAGGAGAAAATGTAATTCCAGTATTGCACATATCTGTTTTTTCCTTACTAAGGAATTTTGAAATGAAGCTCTGTACAACACTTCATACTCTATTTCCAGTTTTCCTTTTCTGCCACTTTCAAGTTAATCTTTTTCTCCATCAGTCACTAATGGTATTTTTATTCTCGTACTCAGTTTGCTCATATTTTGATCAGCATGTGATCTTTTGATCTCTTTTTATTCTCTTACCACAACCTGTTCTCTTTTCTTTTTAAAATGGTTTTCTTAATCTCTGCTGTGCTCTTGCCATGATGAATGTATCTTTTAAAAAGTATTCCGATGTTGTTAACTGTTATCTACTGTAAATTTCTTCTCTTTTTTCTGTAGTTCCCAGTGAAAATAGTTTATACTTTCATGCACTGATTCATTGCTAGACAAGTTGTACTGGTTTAACTGTTGATTAATACCTTCTCAGAATCTTACTACTATCCTTTATTTCTGTTTCTAAGAATAAACAAATAAGAGTCAACCAAAACCAACAACTCCTAAATATCAAATTAAATCCTTTTTTTGTTGTTATCCAAATGGAATTATCTCTACTCTTCTGGTGTAAATACTTACTCTGATATTAAAACACTTTAGATTTTCCGTAGTTTCATATGAACAGATATTATATGCATTGGCTGTCTTGTTCCTTTCTGACATTTTGCGAGTGGCGCCACATACTGTCACAGAATCACAGACTGGTTGAGGGTTGGGCAGGACCTCTGGAGATATCTGGTCCAACCCCACTACTCAAGCAGGACCACCTGGAGCGGGTTACAGAGGATTGTGTCCAGGTGGCTTTTGAATACCTCCAAGGAGGGAGGCTTCAGAGCCTCCTTGGGCAACATGTGCCAGTGCTTGCTCACCATCTCACAGTAAAGTAGTATTTCCTGATGTTCAGACAAAGCCTCCTGTGTTTTAGTTTGTGCACATTCATATATGCAGTATATCAAAATATCATACCTAAGTAAACTGTTTGAAATAGCTGATTAATTAACAGATGTTGGAAACTTCCTTTTTTTTTTTAATAGATGGACTTTTTGATGGCAGCATTCGTTGGATGGCAGTGTTGATTTCTATGGCAGTCTGCATAATAGTCATGATCATCTTATTTAGCTGCTTTTGTTACAAGTAAGGAAAGTGCTTTCTTTGTTGGCAATGTTTTTAATTTCACAAACGACTGTAAACAGTACAGTTATTTTGTAAATGTTCCCAGTTAATCGCACGTATTTCTGACAGAAATAGATTGGAAGTTAAACCGTTGTAATTTAATTTCATGTTTCTGTGGATAGCTGTTTGCGTTGCTAAGTAGAATGAAGTGTTCGCAGCATAGAATTTAAGGGAATTTGATCCTTTCCTCTGCCAACAAAGTGTTTACAGTTTTCTAAGCTACGTATAACTTTGATGCTATAGCATCTGGTAATCAGGAATATCTTAATGCTTTTTATTGTTTTGGATCTTCAGTCACTTTTGATAGTTAAATTCCATCTACTTCTGAGATTTACCTTTGTAAAGTGCTTTTGCAAACCTAACGTGACAAGGGTGTGTCTTATAACTTCTTTAAAAACTAAATCTGAGCTATGGAAATTCATGCAGGAGCAGTTTAAGAGACTATGCCTGCTTCTGTCAGCTCCAGCCCTGTGCTGGAGATGATCATTGCACTAGCAGTTTGAGCAGAAATGTGCATGCGTCAGCCTCATCTGCCATGGTTCAAGGTTGAGTCTGTTAGTTTAAACCAAAACCAGCAGTGTTAATGCTAGTAACACTGGCTGTGAGCTGAGTATAAAAATGCTTTTTTTCTACCTGACTCATAATAAACTGACGTGCCTCTACATGCATTACAGCAACTTCTTAATGTTAAAAAACTATGTAAGTTAAGCTTCTGAAAAAAATGGTACAGTAAAATCTGATTATTTTGTTTTTCTTTTAAGAAAATTTGTACATTTAAATGGCATTTTTCCTAGCTCAGTTCACAACACCTTTTGAAGAGTGTTTTGGAATTGAGCTTAACTTTTTCTGTTAACTTCTGTAGGCATTACTGTAAGTCAATGGCAAAGAGGCACTGTTATAATCGGGACCTGGAACAAGATGAAGCATTTATTCCAGCTGGGGAGTCATTAAAAGACCTTATTGACCAGTCACAGAGTTCTGGGAGTGGATCAGGACTGCCATTGTTGGTAAGTCATAAACTAGGATTTTTCTTCACTTCTCTCCATCAAATACAAAATTTGGTTTGTACCTAATGCCTAGAACAAGGTAGTTTATCTGTACAGTATGTTAATTATTTTATATGCAATTACTATGGAAGATACAGTACAAACGAAACACGTACAAAAGCCCATCTTCACATAATTAACTATAATAAAGTACAAAATTAGGTTATGTTAGGAAATCTCTTCATATCAGCAAAATTTAAAGAACCATTAGAGCCTACAGACATTAGGATAAAAATGCAATGAATGGATAAGACAGATATCGAATTGAGCGAACTCAAAGATTTTTTTTCTTAGTGTCCACTGTCCGATAAAATTATTTGCTTTTTATTGGCTGATGGTTGTTCATAATTTTTGATTCATCATCCTATATAATACTTGCATAAAAATTAGCCAGTGAGACAGATGACTGTAGTTATTTATAAAATAGAAACAGAATGCAAGAGAATGCGTCTGAATTACATAAGAACATGAGCTGATTTAATCTTTTTGAGTTCATTGTACAGTTCATCCTTGGAGGTGTCAGTAATGCATTTGAAATGGGAATAGTGGAAAATAATATAGAACAAATTTTACAATGGGATCAAAATTCAAAGCAATCCAAGTTTGAGAAGCAGCCTGTCCAGGTGCTTTTGGTTAATCGCTGGTTTTCCCTTCTTCAACTTCCCCCTGTTTTGTTTTTTTTTTTTTTTGACTTTTCTTTCTTCCCTAGGTTCAGCGCACTATTGCCAAACAAATTCAGATGGTGAGGCAAGTTGGAAAAGGACGATATGGTGAAGTGTGGATGGGAAAATGGAGGGGTGAAAAAGTCGCAGTGAAAGTGTTTTTCACCACAGAAGAAGCCAGTTGGTTCCGAGAAACAGAGATTTACCAGACTGTTTTAATGCGTCATGAAAACATCCTTGGTAGGGAAGCAGTACATTGTTTGACTACTGGAGGGCTTATGTGAGGGTGCAGGAGGAGTGGGTGGCTTGAGGGGTGTATGACAGCTTCTGTGGAATAACCAGTTGGGTGTCCCTTAATGTATGCTAATAATGTATAGTTGAGATCTGAGCTTTTACTTTATTGGTTTTCATAAGGGGAACAAGGATCTTTTGATGCAGTCTAAGACAATATAGCTTTAGGAGTTACTACGAACACTGTTGCATAAAAAAATTATGTACAAATAAATTGTAACTTTATGTCTTTCATAGGTTTCATAGCTGCAGATATTAAAGGCACTGGCTCCTGGACACAGCTTTACTTGATTACAGATTATCATGAAAATGGATCATTGTATGATTTTCTGAAATGCACTACACTAGACAACAGGGCTCTCCTCAAACTGGCGTACTCTGCTGCATGCGGTCTGTGCCATCTACACACAGAAATTTATGGGACACAGGGCAAGCCTGCTATTGCACACAGAGACCTAAAGAGTAAAAACATCTTAATAAAGAAAAATGGAACGTGCTGCATTGCTGACTTGGGTCTTGCAGTCAAGTTTAACAGGTAGATGAACAAATCCTTTGTGATAGGAAACCTTTATTTTTTTTTTTTTTAATGTACCAGGTCTCCAATTTGAAAGGAAGACAGAGTCATTTGGTTGCATGCTTTCAGGGTTTTTTCGGTTTTGAGAGTAAAATGCTGTTCTTCTTTGAATGGTGGTGAGCATCAAGATGAAACTAGGTTGTTAAGAGAACAATGAAAAGACTCTTCTTGTGGAAAATAAAAGTGGGTTTTATAGAGGAAAGAAAGAGGAGACTAATTCATTCATTATGAAAAACTGGCCTTTCACAGTAATTGCTATAATTTAGTTTAATTATAAGTTATCTAATAAAAAATGGGAACAGTGTAAAGGGAGTTGAAACGATTGAAAGATTGTGATGGGTTAGCGCTTGGCTGGGGGCCAAACCACACAC